AATTGAAAAATAGTGAAAGGTGAAGGGCAGGATTGATCCACAGGAAGGATGAAAAAGGAAACCTTTGGTTGCCTAAATCATCCTGAGTTTGCAGCGAAAATTTGTATGTGGAATTGTTAATGGTAATCAAGAGGTGCAGAAGACAAACAGACTGAGCTGCACTTTCTTGTTCTTATAGTTTTACAGCAACATCACGTCTTGGTCTCTTTGTAGTGGAAGGTGTTTCTTGGTGAACAGTTAGTGCCTTTCACTTTGGTCTTGACTTTTTAAATTCGTAACCAAGGTTGAGCGAGGGATCGGGATTCTGCCTTGATGGCTCCACATACAAAATGTTGTCTGCAAACTCTGGATGATTTCTTAGACAGTCATAGGTTTCCTTTTCTGGTTCTTCCTGTGGATCAATCCTGCCCATCTCCTTCACCTTTCACTATTTTTCATTTTTTATTTTCCATTGTGAAGAGAAACAGTTTGAACGGAGGTTTGAGTCACACACATCTGATTCACTTTTGCAGTTATGGAGTTCACAAACAAATTTCTCGAGTCGTTTTCTGCTGTTAGGATCCAACAACCACACAATTAATGATGTCCGAATCCCAAAACTAAAATATGACAATATCAGAACCAGAAACAAAAGTGATATGGTTCAAAAGAGTTGAAAAGATCGACTTTGTCAATAGACACATCCCACTGGGAAAACAAACCTGGCGGTTTGATGCTCACTTTTTCAGAAAATCCTTCCCAGTATGAATTGCGCAATGACTGGAAGTCTGAGATTCTTGATGCGTGTATTCTTAAAGCGCTATGTATTTTGGGAATTTAAACTGTCCTTGTTCCTGACAGGGCATCTGGCTTTCACAAAGGTCGGATTTTAGGATTCTATTTTCACAATGTTTTAAAATGTTTAAATCTGACTCTGATCCCGCTCTAACGCCGCTCTAGCAGCTCTCGCTCTGATTGGTCCAAACACTCCACGTAGTGCACGTTACAGATGTCACACAGGTGGGAGGCCACTGGAAACAATACAACGCCATCTTGTGTCCACCTTGTACATTTTATTATAGTTCTCTAGTATAAGTGGACACAGCTAACCTGCCAGCCGTCGCGCTCCAAATAGGAAGTGGCATGATTCAGCTCCCAGTGACTCCACTTTACTTTCTATTGAAAAATCGTTGCCCCTCTCTCTGGAACGGCTGCTGTCAGGCTCCTCATTTTGGTCTTAAAATGTCTGTTTTAACTCTACATGGTCCTGGGGTTTTTATTTCACAATTTCATCTGTAGTTCAAGATATGAGCATTAGTAGCAGACCAGTGAGGCACCTTCTTCTTTCCCCGAGGTCGCTCCTGCCCCCGTTAGCAACAGGTTTGATTGACATGGCAAAGGAGAAATTCAGTTTGTTGACCGAACAGATGTTTTTGATCGAATATGTTTGGCAGCTCATCCAAGCTGCTTCTTCAGTTGTGGTCAGACGCTAGTGGACACTTCCTTATATCTGCTGAAGTAAGAGCTATCTACACTGAAACTCCTCTGAAACTAAGGCTAAGTTCAGACTGCAGCCTGAAGTGACCCAAATCCGATTTTTTGGCCCATATGTGACTTGTATCTGATTTTTTAATGACAGTCTGAACGACACAGATCCGATTTTTTCAAATGCGACCCAGGACACTTGGATATGTGCTCCTAAAACCGATACATATCTGATCTTTTGACATGTGACTTCAGTCACATGTCGGTCAAAGTGCATTCATCCACATACACGTTATCAACAAGACACAAACGTCACTATTCTGCGCTGAAGTAGGTGAAAATTGTTAATGAGCTCCGTGTCACTGAAGTGGAGCACATCACCACTCACCACTCTTGGCTACGTCTCCACATCCACACGTTCCTTTCCACTTACGTTGCTGCCGCTGCCCCACAAAACACGGCAAAAAACCTGGTCCTTCTCCTTCTCTATCTCCTCCTTAAAACAAGTAAGTTGTTCATGTTCTGGCTCTGGTACGAGAGGAACTTTAAAATCTCCAGATGCTCAATGCTGCGTCCATGTTTGGACAACTTCTGTAAACACAGAGACGCTCGCTGCGGTTGATGTTGTCGTGTCTCCAGTGCACATGTGGGACACTTTTGGGTCGTTTAAAGTTCACACTGGAGTCACATACAAGTCACATTTAATTTGAAATGTGAATGACCTCGCAAAAACATTGGATTTCAAAAAAAAATCTGAATTGAGCGCTAAGCCCTGCAGTCTGAACGTAGCTTTACACATTTAGTTATTTACACTTTCTGTTTGTCAGATCAGTCTATTGAATTGTACTGAGTGAGAGGAACTATTAGCAGAATCATTCAGGCCCCTGATGGGAGTTTTCACACCTCTGGGCCTGACCTGCTCCCCCTGTTGTTCTCTTAGTTTTGTTTTAGGTTTGAGGAATGTGTTGTAAAGACACATGATGCTTGAGGCCTCCATTTCTGTTCAAAGATGGATTGTGTTTCCCAACAAAATTAGCCTACTCCCCTCTCTAACCAATTCTTTTCTCTGGCTATCCTCACTATCCTCAAAGGAGTGGCTCGTGGCTTTTAGGTGGAGATGTACAGCAGACTGAGGTCCTGTGTTGCTCTCTCGTCTGTGTTGGTACTTCCTCTTGTGAAGTGTCTGTTTCGTTTCTCCAGTGTGGCGCTCGCTGCACTCTTCACTCCATTGAATGGAGTAGAACACAATGCTTTGTTTGTGGCTCGGTGTTTTGTCCTTTGGGTGGACCAGTTTTTGTCTTTTTGATTGACAGTTTTGCTAAACCCCCGCCCCCAGATTAGCCACTATTACTGCTAGCTTTGGTGAGCTTCATTTGACTGGAACCTGGAGAATGATAAAGAAAGAAGTAATCTGACTGTTACCTAGCAACCATAATATTTACATAAGTGGTCTTTATGCAGCTGCAGGGGTTATTTATGGAGCTACTGATCATTGACCTCACGCCGGGTTTGTTCTGCGTGTATGGCTATGGCGAAATGTTCAGCAGTTACCATGGCGACACAATGCACATGTTACCAAAAGGCTTTAAGATTGTCTGAGAAGTCAAGAAAAAATACAAAATGGATTTAAAGAGCACATTTTCAGGAGCCTGTGATGAGTGTGAGTGTTCATGGTCCTGTTCAGGAGCTTGATTTTCAACCTACTAATGCTAATGCTAGCTAGAATGTGACTGTAATTTTAAGTGTGAGCGACTTGTTTAACAGCACAGATCAGCTCATCTGCTGGAGTTCCAGCTCCGTTCTTTCTGATCACATTGTGTTAAAACAAAGACCAGTTTAAAGTCTAAGGCTGCGTTCAGACTGCATCCTGAAGTTACCCAAATTCGATTTGTTGGCCTCTATGTGACCTGTATCTGATCTTTTAATGACAGTCTGAACCACACAGATCCGATTTTTTCAAATTCGACCCAGGACACTTAGGCTACGTTCAGACTGCAGGGCTTAATGCTCAATTACGATTTTTTTGTGAAATCCGATGTTTTTGCGAGGTCATTCACATTTCCAATTAAATGTGACTTGTATGTGATCTCCAGTATGAATATTAAATGGCCCAAAAGTGTCCCACATGTGCACTGGAGACACGACAACGTCAACTGCAGCGAGCGTGCTCTGTGTTTACAGAAGTTGTCCAAACATGGACACGAGCATTGAGCACCTGGAGTTTTTTAAATTTCTCTCGTACCAGAGCCAGAACATGAACAACTTACTTGTTTTAAGGAGGAGATTGAGAAGGAGAACGAGGTTTTTGGCCGTGGTGTTTTGTCGGACAGCGGCATCGACGTCCGTTGAAAGGAACGTGTGGATGTGGAGACGTAAACAAGAGTGGTGAGTGGTGATGTGCTTCACTTCAGTGACACGGAGTTCATTAACAATTTTCACCTACTTCAGCACAGAATAGTGACGTTTGTGTCTTGTTGATAACGTGTAGGTGGATGAATGCACTTTGGCCGTTCACACTGAAGTCACATGTCAAAAGATCAGATATCAGACATATCGAAGTGTCCTGGGTCGCCTTTGAAAACATCGGATCTGTGTCATTCAGACTGTCATTAAAAGATCAGATACAGGTCACATATGGGCCAAAAAATCCGATTTGGGTCACTTCAGGCTGGAGTGTGAACGTAGCCTTGGATATGTGCTCCTAAAACCGATACATATCTGATCTTTTGACATGCGACTTCAGTCTGAACGGCCAAAGCGCATTCATCCACCTACACGTTATCAACAAGACACAAATGTACACAAATGTTCTTCTTGTCATACGAAAATTGTTAATGAACTCCGTGTCACTGACGTGAAGCACATCACCACTCACCACTCTTGGCTCCGTCTCCACATCCACACGTTCCTTTCAATGGACTGTCCCACAAAACACCACGACCAAAAACCTCGTCCTTCTCGTTCTCAATCTCCTCCTTAAAACAAGTAAGTTGTTCATGTTCTGGCTCCGGTACGAGAGGAACTTTAAAATCTCCAGATGCTCGATGCTGCGTCCATGTTTGGACAACTTCTGTAAACACAGAGACGCTCACTGAGGTTGACGTCGTCGTGTCTCCAGTGCACATGTGGGACACTTTTGGGACGTTTAATGTTCACACTGGAGATCACATACAAGTCACATTTAATTGGAAATGTGAACGACCTCACAAAAACATTGGATTTCACCAAAAAAAAAAATCCGAATTGAGCATTAAGCCCTGCAGTCTGAATGTAGCCTAACAATGCTTCAGACAGAGCAGTGCCTACAGTTAGCATTGGATTACCTGTGAATGGGTTTTAAGTAAATATGATTTCCCTGTACCTGTTTCAGCTGTTGGGACGACAGCAGCACAACCGACCACCCCGCACCAGAACGGCAGTGTCACAGCGTCTCCAAGGACCTCCGCCCCTCAGATCTCCACTAAAGCCACCACAGCGCCGACCCGCGGCACAGGGACCAGTCCAAATCCCCACGAGTCCAGAGTCCTGACCCAGTGTCCAGACCACACTGCCCACAGTGACCACAGTTTCTCCACCCGTCTTTCTGACGTTCTCAGTAAGATAATTTTTATAAACAGTGTTAAAGAGAGGCTACTGTCAAACTCCACTTTTTGTAACTTTCTCCCATGTTTAAATGTTGTTTCTTCATCACAAACCTGCCTGAAGAGGTTTTAGACTCCTGGTGATCTATGTGTGTTAACAGTTAATACCCCAGAAAAGTAAAATACCCCCTCTTTAAAAAGGAAATCAATTCATTCAAAATATTGTACTGTATTATCTGTATTTTAATTTACTATTTAAACCAGAAATGTTAATGTTGCACTCTTAAATAATCCAGGCCAGTGGTTCAGTTTTGCAACTTTTATTTTATCCAAGCAGTTCAATACATTGGAGGCACGCAGGGCTACAACACCTGAGCGCAGGCCACACTCCCAACACTGGATGGGCGTGTCTGACCTACTTTTATTGCTGGACCCCCAACTATCATCACCACCCATCTCCTGTCTGCTCTCGATGCTACAGTGTATTTTAATTACATTCAAATTTAATACATTAGCAGTGCATATACTGTAATTGATAAATAATATATCATTTAACATTTCATCCATAATATATAGATGGGCTACATTAACAATCAATCATGATCTAACTCTGACTGTATCATTTCAGATATTATGGGAAATTTGAGATGAAAATAAAAATGCTAAAGAGCCTATATTACACAAAACGAACCATGTCATGTTCTAATGTTGTTCCCTCCTCCAAAACACACCTGGACTTGTGTTCTGTTTTATTCACGTTTGAGTAATTCATTATTATTAGTCTGTCTACATCTCCAAAGCTCAAAATGCTCTGTTCCACCTTGTGATGTCATGAAGCTGTAGTTAAAGGTTGTATAGAGGATTTTCCAAGGAAAGTGAAATACAGCAACTGTTTGTCCTTTTTCAAATGTTACTCATGCATGCTACTTCCTCATTACGTTAGAAATCATGTTTGTTTACAGCCGCTGTGCGTTCACAGTCGCTGAACAAATGCTGTTGAAGTTTCCTGTCCAGAAGTCATTTAGCGACCAACGTTTCAGTCTTTAGAGCCTTCGTCTGCTTCAGTCGCTCCATCGCTGGAAGGAATCTCCAAGAATCACCTCAGTTTGGCCTCGCTCTTTTTCCGCTTCTCTTCTTCTTTCAGCGACCTCAAAAACAGACTTTCTTTTGCGGGTAACCCTGAATTCACACCAGGAGCATTAGAAGCACATAACTTCAGCAGAGTTTACACCAGAGACACAGAGCTGCTCCTGCGACTCCAGCCTCTGTGGATTCTCATGTTTAAACACTAAACTTTTTATATTGTTTATGTATTCATTGTTGACTGTGTTGGGAAGGTGACTTTTAAAATGTAATCCCCTACAGATTACAGATTACATACCCCAAAATGTAGTTTGTAACATAACCCATTAAGTTACTTAAGGTGAGTAACATAATCTGAATACTTTGGATTAGTTGATTTGATTTGCTGTAGAGAAGCAAAGATGAGGAAATCTTCACATAAGATGTTTTGTCTGATAAAAGAAAATAAAAAGCCCAGACTTTACTGAACCAAATTAAAAATATTACTGATAGAAGAAGAAGAGGAGACACTGTCTACACAGCATGATTTAGTCCTGTTAAATCCTGTTTGAGACATAGTTTAGATCTGGTTTAGACCTGGTTTAGACCAGGTTTAGACCTGGTTTAGACCAGGTTTAGACCAGAATTAGACCTGGTTTGGACCTGGGTTTAGACCTGGTTTGGACCTAGTTTAGTGTCTGGCAATGAGTGGAATTGCCAAAAAAGAAAAAAAAAGGGATATAGCCCAAAATGTGAAAACAGGAAAATACCTCTGTGTAATCCATTTATTAAACAGTAACTGTAACTGAATACAGTTACTCAAAATTTGTACTCTGATTACATAACTCTGGTACATGTAATCTGTTACTCCCCATCACTGATTGTTGATTGGATGAATTCTGTTTTAAATCACAAAACAAAAGTTGACAAAAGAGACAATGATGTTTTGTAGCAATAATGATAATCTGTTTTGCTCAAATCTCTCCATTTCACTTTGGTCATTGCTCCTCGTGCCTTTTCCTTCATGAGTTGTTCTTGTAAAGTTTCTGTCTGATGTCGTAAAGTATTTTATATTTATCCTCCACGGCTGTAAACTTTCTGTGTCCATCATGAGTCGTTCCCTGAGCTCCTGATGCGACGCTCGGTGTTTACACGACTAGTGGTTTTGCTGAACGTATTTTGTAAGAGCATCAGAAGTTTATTTTGACACCGTGTGATTATTTCCTGTCTTTCCCCTGATAAAACCTGGAGACGCTCTGACGCTGCAAAATTAGAACTCCAACCTAATTTAGTGTAGCTTAATGACTGCCGTTGGACGCGCGTACGACACTGCTGCTGTAAACTGTTCAAGCGGTTAAAATGGAAAACCAAACCTGCGTGTGTGCTGCTCGTCTGTTGTACTGCTGTGCTTACACTGTTACTGCTTTGGTGTAAATTGGGGGTCGTAGATTCTTTTCTGCCACTGCAACAAACTCTGTGCTACCTGCAAAGAAGCTGCAGTTTGAAAAAGCCGCCAAGAACCACTGTATAGTCGAGTTTCAGCTGACGTCATTGTTATTAAAAGCCTGCGTTGCATGCTGGGAAATATTTTGGTCAGAGGCAAGAAACAGGATAGTGGTCAAACACAGTGCGTAAACTCGCGTATTTATCCCCGATAATGGTAAATTCCTGCTGCATTATCAGATGCACAAAAAGAAACACGGAAGAAGGAAAATGTCTTTTTCGTATTCTGAGTGAAAAGAACCACTAACGGTGAATTAAACGACTTTCAAACATCCACAGAGCAAACGTAGAAGATCCTAACAAACCGTGGACTCCAACAAGTTCAACAACACATCCAGACTCTTGGAGGTTTTCATCTTTTCTGCTGTGAATGGCCCAGGAGTTTCCACCAAGTCATTGTGGATGTCGCCCAAGTGAATATTTGTCCAGGTAGTTGGCGATTCAGACCAGAAATTTGGTTTGGTCCACCTTTTGTCGGGGTTGAAAAGGGTGATTTGTCGTCTGTCGATGCTTATGACCAATTTCTGGTCAAATGGTCTTGGGTCCTCTGCCGTTAGAGTGGATAAATAACCAGGATCAATACCCTTTACGTGCTTTCTCACTCCGTCCGTCATGTTGAATTAGTGTTTCTTGCCGCCGACCAAAATAATTCCCAGCATGCAACGCACGCTTTTGTCAACAATGAAACCTGCCTATTGGTCGAGTCAACGGCGTCTTACGTAAGTGGAATTCATGAGAGGCACAAGTAAACCATGTAATCCCAGCGCACCGCAGAGTCAGTTAGGTTTTGTTTGGTTTTGGCACATTCATTGACAATTTGAAACTAAAAAAAATCCTTCATACAACCTTTAACTGCTATTTTGAGCCTCAATTGACCTCCATTTCCTGTAATACCACTTAATCACATCAGAAAGAGGAACACAGTGTTTTCAGTTTGAGGGAAAAAAAAGTAAAAAATGTGTGTGTTAAATGTGTGCGAATGAAACAAAACATAACTCCAGGTCTGGTTGTGATGAGGAAACTACATTATAACATAGATTTAAAAACAAAACAAAACAGTGTAATGTGGGTCTTTCAAGAGTTTTTACTGTTGTGTCATGTTCTATGTTCTATATGTTGAGAGGAAAAGGAAAATAAGTGCAAAGCTTCAGCCTAAACCCCTTCAATCTGTGGAATAACTGAAGTGTTGTTTGTCGTTTTGTGTGACTAACTTTATTCCTTGACTGTGTGTGTTTGTTTTACAGTACTGGCTGAACAGTGGTGTTCAGGTAGGACTTTCTCTTGTCGTAGATCTATTATTGAACTTCCCTTTATGTTCCTCTTCCTGTGACTCTGCTCCTATTGTCCTCTTCCTTCCTCTCCGCTCCACCTTAAAAAACAGCGCCGCCTTAAACCCCGCTCCACCCACATACACTGCTTTTTATAGAGCCTTTAAAGTGCCTGTGACAAGCTGGACGACTCATTTGACCAAAACACTGCTTAGATCATTACATTTAAGATTTAAGATGGTACATGTAATCTGTTACTCCCCAACACTGCTCACCATGATGCATTTAAAAGCATTTTTCACAACTCTCAGACCAGAGCGGAGTTTTGCAGTCACTGTAAAACAACAACTAGCATGCTAACGTGCAATAAAAGCTTTATGATTACATGCTGACAGTTCACAGAGGACTTATTCTGACCTCAGGAGCTGCTTATACAAGACATCTGTACTACGACACATTTAGCTCAAATACATGGAGGAAAATTGAGTATAGGCTGTTTAAAGGTGAAAAGGTTTAGTCCTGGTTTAGTCCTGGTTTAGTCCTTCTTTAGTCCTGGTTTAGTCCTTGTTTAGACCTGGTTTAGACCTGGTTTAGTCCTTGTTTAGACCTGGTTTAGACCTGGTTTAGTCCTGGTTTAGTCCTGGTTTAGACCTGGTTTAGACCTGGTTTAGTCCTGGTTTAGTCCTGGTTTAGTCCTTGTTTAGTCCTGGTTTAGTCCTTGTTTAGACCTGGTTTAGACCTGGTTTAGTCCTTGTTTAGACCTGGTTTATATCTGGTTTAGTCCTGGTTTAGACCTGGTTTAGTCCTGGTTTAGACCTGGTTTAGATCTGGTTTAGTCCTGGTTTAGACCTGGTTTAGTCCTGGTTTACCTGGTTTAGACCTGGTTTAGACCTGGTTTAGTCCTGGTTTAGACCTGGTTTAGTCCTGGTTTAGTTTTGGTTTAGTCCTGGTTTTGTCCTGGTTTAGTCCTGCTTTAGTCCTGGTTTAGTCCTTGTTTAAACCTGGTTTAGTCCTGCTTTAGTCCTGGTTTAGTCCTGGTTTAGTGCTTGTTTAAACCTGGTTTAGTCTTGGTTTAGTCCTGGTTTAGTCCTGGTTTAGTCCTGGTTTAGTCCTGGTTTAGTCCTGGTCTTCTCTGTCAGGAGAAACTAAAGTCACATGATGTTTTCACAACAGCTTCAGGAAGTGCAGTTGTTATTCAAGCCCAAAGGCGAGAGTGTTTCAGGTGAAAAGACTTTACACCAGAAAATTCACGTGACGAGTTTGTGGAGCTGATGCCAAACAAATAAGGAGAAGAAGAAACATTTGTGGATCAGAAGTTTGGAGATTTGTTTAAAAACAGTGAATCTCCCGTAAAGTTCTACAGACCCCACCCTCTATGACGTCATTCTATAGATTTATTTAAACGTCCTGTGTCACGCAAAACTGATTCATGTCAACGTTTAATCATGTTCTAATAGGGCTGTCGCAGTAACCGCAAAAATGAACCACCGCAGTACTAAACGATTACACATGACCAACATGACCCAACCCAGAGTCCTGCACGGGTCCATTTTTAGAGACGCGCACCTGCCCGGAACCGTTAAGTGCGGCCGTCACCTGATCACACTTTACGGACACTCTGCTCCATGTGCTCGTGCTCAGGGTTCTCTCTCTTAAGTGTGCGGGTACCTGACCTGGTGCAGGACTCTGACCTGACCTGGTGCAGGACCACACACTATACACACTACACACACTATACACACTATACACACTACACACACACTACTACACACTACACACACACTACACACACTACACACACACACACACACACACTACACACACTATACACACACTACACACACTACACACTACACACTACACACTACACACACTATACACACACACACTACACACACTACACACACACTACACACACTACACACACTACACACACTACACACACTATACACACTATACACACTACACACACTACACACACACTATACACACTACACACACACTACACACTCTACACACACACTACACACACTACACACTACACACACACTATACACACACTACACACACACACACTACACACACACACACTACACACACTACACACACACTACACACACTATACACACTACACACTACACACACTACACACACTACACACACTATACACACTACACACACACTACACACACTATACACACACTACACACACTATACACACTATACACACTACACACACACTACACACACTACTACACACACTATACACACTATACACACTACACACACACTACACACACTACACACACTATACACACTACACACACACACTATACACACACTATACACACTATACACACTATACACACTATACACACTACACACACACTACACACACTATACACACTATACACACTACACACACACTACACACACTACACACACTATACACACACTACACACACTATACACACTACACACACACTACACACACTACTACACACACTACTACACACACACTACACACACACACACTACACACACTATACACACTATACACACACTACACACACTACACACTACACACTACACACACACTACACACACTACTACACACTACTACACACACTACACACACTATACACACACTACACACTACACACTAACACACTACACACACACACACACACTACACACACACACACTATACACACTATACACACTACACACACACTACACACACTATACACACTACACACACTACACACACATACACACTATACACACACACTACACACACACTACACACACTACACACACACACTATACACACTACACACACTACACACACTACACACACTATACACACTACACACCACTACACACACACTACACACACACACTACACACACTACACTACACACACTACACAACACACACACACACACACACTACACACACTACACACACATTACACACACTACACACACTATACACACTACACACACACTATACACACACTACACACACTATACACACTACTACACACACTATACACACACACTACACACACTACACACTACATACACACTACACACACTATTACACACACTACACACACACACACTACACACACTACACACACACTACACACACATACACACACACACACTACACACACACTACACACACACACTACACATACTACACACAACACACACACTATACACACTACACATACAACACACACTACACACACACTACACACACACACTACACATACTACACACAACACACACACTACACACACTATACACACTACACACACACTACACACACTACTTTAATGAGGGCCGTGGCAGTTTAGTTGTGATGATCTGGTTCAGATCTGGAGACAGGTCCAGGTGCTTCCCCGGGTCCTGGAGGGCTCCTTTAGGAAGACCTGGGTCTGGCCCTCGTCGCCATGGAAACAGAACCAGGAAGTACAGGGTCTGCGTTCTCTAAAGGGGAGGGGCTTCCTGTGTTTGAGCCGCTTCCTGTGTTCCCAGCCCTCCTCAGCTCCTCTCACTGCAAAAAAAGATTCTGGACTCCAACTCAGAATCTATTTTTGACTGCTCCTGTTTTACATTTCAGATTATTATTATTATTTTTTTTTTTTCAGATGATTTCTTATTGTTTTTGAGTAAAATGTGACAGATATATTGTAAAAGCAGCTCTTGAGGTCAAAATCAGTCCGCTGTGTACTGTCTCAATCTAAAAGCAGTTTATTGTCAGATAATCAGGAAGTGCACTTTTTATATAATTCTGATTTAGGGTGACCATGTTTACCATCTGTCCAGGGACTACAGGTGAAAAAGCCTCTCTAACTAATTCTAGTACATTTACAGAAATGCTGATTAATGTACACTGTCCCTGTTAAATAAACCAAATAGATTAAATTAAGTACGTGTTAGCATGCTAGTTGTTGTTAACTGTAATAATAATAATAATAATAAATACATTCAATATACCATTTTCACTCAAAGACACTTAAACGTGTCTAATGTGCATTTAATCAACAATAAAGAGTTTTAGTTGCTCAAAAATCCACCTCCACAGATCTGACCTGTAACTTGGCCTGGTGGCACCTGCTTGTCTCCATGGCAATAACTTTAAAGCCATAATAGGGAACATTCTATAACAAGTAACATGTATTGTACTGTATAAAAAAGTGAAGTAAGTGAGTGTGACGTCACCCACTGCGTTCAGCTCCAGTCAAATGAAGCTCATCGAGGCCTTAGGTTACAGGAGTGAATTTGGTACAGATTAGGAACCGGAATTAATTTAGGAACAAAAAAGCAAAATGAAAACAGCAGGTTTATATCGTGTTTTTCTCAAAGACACTTTACAGATCATTATTCATTCACCCCAGATCCACTGGTGTAAACTATTATTGTAGCCACAGCTGCCCTGGGACAGACTGACAGAAGCACGGCTGCCACTCTGCACCATCAGGCCCTCCCACCACCACCAACAACACTCTCACACACACTCACACACACACCACTTCATACTACGCAATGTGGGTGAAGTGCCTTGCCTACGGACACAATGACTGGCGCCCCCCTGTGGCACCTGATTTTCCCAGCAGAGTCTTGCACCGGGCCGGAGGGTACCCACAAATGGGCGGGTTTTAACGTTTTGGAATTTTATGGGGGGTATGCAGATAGTGATTACACACAAATTAACATGTACGACAAACATCCAAGATATCCGTTGCCCTGAAAACAAGTTCCATTTCCCATCTATTCCTGGAACGATGGACCAGACTGAGAGAAACTTTAGTGTTTTTATTACATCGGTCGAGGTGATTGGTTCAGTGGCTGCTTCCCTGGTTTAGACCTGAATAAGTCCTGTCTTAGACCCGGTTTGGTCCTGGTTCAGTCCTGCTTTAGTGCTTGTGTAGTCCTGGTGTAGTCCAGGTTTAGTCCTGGTGTAGTCCAGGTTTAGTCCTGGTGTAGTTTTGGTCCAGTCCTGGTGTAGTCTTGGTCCAGTCCTGGTATAGTCTTGGTTTAGTCCTGGTGTAGTCCTGGTCCAGTCCTGGTTTAGTCCTTGTTTAGTCCTGGTGTAGTCCTGGTTTAGTGCTGGTGTAGTCCTGGTTTAGTCCTGGTCCAGTCCTGGTGTAGTCCTGGTTTAGTTCTGGTTTAGTCCTGGTTTAATCCTGGTTTAGTTCTGGTTTAATCCTGGTTTAGTCCTGGACTATTGGGCTGTCACATTAATAGGTTGACCTCGATTTATCTCGGGCGGGTAAAGGGTGCAGTGTTAACGGGTCAGGGCGGGTACGGTTTCAACTTTGATATAATCACGGGTTAACGGACGGGTGCCGGTCTCCAGAGATGGACCCATGCAGGACTGTGCCCAGCGGTCTCAGATCCAAGTCCTGACCCGGCCCGGCCCTGCTGAGCTCGGACGGGATCAGGCTTCGAGAAGGACGTGTGGCCACATGTAGAGCAGGTTAATACCAATATTTAAGACCAAAATGACGAGGTTCACAGCAGCAGGTACAGAGAGGCCACAGTATTTCAATCAAAAGTGAATGGGAGCCAGAGCTGATGGAGCTGAATCGCGCCCATGCTCACTTCCTGTTTGGAACGTGACGGTTAGCGGGTAAGACGTATCGTTTCTATTTTCTGATCTCAGACAGAAGTGAAAAATGTTTATAAACTCATCATGGTGACTAAAGAGGACGCTCTGAATGCACAAGGGAAGTGAGGAAGAACATCATTCACCCACAGGAAGTGGTCACTGCAGGGCTGACCTTCACTTCCTGTCCGAGCGGGGAGGAACAATGGCCGTGTCCAGATTCTGTTCACTCACCTCCTCCTCCTGTTTCCTCGATCCCTCCTCTGTGAATCATGTCCACTGAAGAGAAACAGCCAATCAGAAGCCAGAAGAATGCTCCTGTCTGCTCCTGTCAGCTCCTGTCTGCTCCTGTCAGCTCCTGTCTGCTCCTGTCAGCTCCTGTCTGCTCCTGTCAGCTCCTGTCTGCTCCTGTCAGTCTGCCTGCTCCTGCTCCTGTCTGCTCCTGTCTGCTCCTGTCTGCTCCTGTCTGCTCCTGTCTGCTCCTGTCTGCTCTTGTGTGCCCCATGTTCTTGTATGTTCTCATCTGGTTGTGGTTGTGGTTCTGGTTGTGGTTGTGGTTTGGTTCTGGTTCTGGTTGTGGTTCTGGTTGTGGTTCTGGTTGTGGTTCTGGTTGTGGTTGTGGTTCTGGTTGTGGTTCTGGTTGTGGTTGTGGTTCTGGTTGTGGTTCTGGTTGTGGTTGTGGTTCTGGTTCTGGTTCTGGTTGTGGTTCTGGTTGTGGTTGTGGTTCTGGTTGTGGTTCTGGTTCTGGTTGTGGTTGTGGTTGTGGTTCTGTGGTTCTGGTTGTGGTTCTGGTTGTGGTCTGGTTTGGTTCTGGTTGTGGTTCTGGTTGTGGTTCTGGTTGTGGTTGTGGTTCTGGTTCTGGTTGTGGTTCTGGTTCTGGTTCTGGTTCTGGTTGTGGTTGTGGTTGTGGTTCTGGTTGTGGTTGTGGTTGTGGTTGTGGTTCTGGTTGTGTTGTGGTTGTGGTTGTGGTTCTGGTTGTGGTTCTGTTGTGGTTGTGGTTCTGGTTGTGGTTCTGTTTGTGTTTGTGGTTCTGGTTGTGGTTCTGGTTGTGGTTGTGGTTCTGGTTGTGGTTGTTCTGGTTGTGGTTCTGGTTGTGGTTCTGGTTGTGGTTGTGGTTCTGGTTGTGGTTCTGGTTGTGGTTTCTGGTTGTGTTGTGGTTGTGGTTCTTGGGTGGTTCTGGTTGTGGTTCTGGTTGTGGTTCTGTTTGTGATTGTGGTTGTGGTTCTGGTTGTGGTTCTGGTTGTGGTTTCTGGTTTGTGTTCTGTTTGTGTTGTGGTTGTGGTTCTGGTGTGGTTCTGGTTGTGGTTCTGGTTGTGGTTCTGGTTCTGTTTGTGATTGTGTTGTTGGTTCTGGTTGTGGTTTTGTGGTTGTGGTTTGTGGTTCTGGTTGTGGTTGTGGTTGTGGTTCTGGTTGTGGTTCTGGTTGTGGTTCTGGTTGTGGTTCTGGTTCTGGTTGTGGTTCTGGTTGTGGTTGTGGTTGTGGTTCTGGTTGTGGTTGTGGTTCTGGTTGTGATTGTGGTTGTGGTTGTGGTTCTGGTTGTGGTTCTGTTTGTGATTGTGGTTGTGGTTCTGGTTGTGGTTCTGTTTGTGATTGTGGTTGTGGTTCTGGTTGTGGTTCTGGTTGTGGTTCTGGTTGTGGTTCTGTTTGTGATTGTGGTTGTGGTTCTGGTTGTGGTTCTGGTTGTGGTTCTGGTTGTGATTGTGGTTGTGGTTCTGCTCAGCCCGGGGTGGACAAGGACCTGGTGGCGATGTGCCAACAGCTCATGACGAATTACGAGGACGGGAAATGCAACCTCACGTTCACTGAGTCCAACGGCCAGAAGAAGTTCACCTCGGCAGAGATCTCAGGCAAAGGTACAAACACACAACGTGATCAAAACAGTGAGTGACGCGGCGACTGATCCACGTGTCCCTTTATGATGGAAGCTTCTTTTTTCACTACAACCTGTTATTTCATCTGCTGCTGTAGTTGTGTCTGTAAGAAAAGCTACAGGACCAGAAATACACATGAAAACATACATATATAACATCCATAAAACATGTTTCATTTAGGGCCTTAGCTACAAAAGTGCAAAATATCAAGTCTGTAAGTAAACAAAAAAATCTCCTTATTGCCTCAAAACAAAACAAAAAAATTGCAGTGGCCCCATGACTTTCCTGGTGTCAGGTCCAGGACACAGAGCCACATCACTTTCTGCATTTCCATGGCTGCCATGTCTTCTTTTTTTTTTTTTTTTTTTGGTCATCATTATTACAAGGCTGCATCTATAATGCTATTTTGACCTTTCATGGACAATTTGAAACAAACAAATAAACAAAAAAATTAGGAGAATAAAGTCATAATTTTACAAGAATTTAGGCTCCTCGGAACGTGTGAATGAGGCTGGTGCCCTGCGGAGAATCTGGAGGAGAAGAATCTGTGTATCATTTGTTCATTTGACTGAACCAGGACTAAACCAGGTCCAGAACCAAACCAGAACTAAGACCAGGATTGAGACCAGAACTAGACTGGGACCAGACAAGGACTGAAAACGGTTTTGTCCTGGTTTAGTCCTGGTTTAAGTCATGGAAATGGGAAACGGCGTTTCCATGACTTAAAATGCGATGCAGAACTATTGCAGCACATACAGACTGCCAGGACTGAACCAGGACTCAACCAGGACTCAACCAGGACTCAACCAGGACTCAACCAGGACTCAACCAGGACTCAACCAGGACTCAACCAGGACTCAACCAGGACTCAACCAGAACTCAACCAGGACTGAACCAGGACTCGACCAGAACTCAACCAGGACTGAACCAGGACTCGACCAGAACTCAACCAGGACTGAACCAGGAATGAATCAGGACTAAACCGTTTTCAGTCCTGGTCTGGTCCCGGTCTCAGTCCTGGTCTAATCCCAGTATCACAGTCTGGTCCTGGCCTCAGTCCCAGTCTCAGTCCTGGTCCTGGTCTCAATCCTGGTCTCAGTTCTGGTCTGATCCCAGTCTCAGTCCTTGTCTGGTCCTGGTCTAAGTCCTGGTCTCAGTCCCGGTCTGGTCTAGGACCTGGTTTAGTCCTGGTTAAATCTGGAGGTGCAAATGAAGAAAATAGTAGTTTTTTTTATGATGAAAAACGAATGAAGGAATGACACAGGGATGGAGAAGGTTCTTCTGCCGCATTTTTCACTTTGACTTTGATTTTATTACGACTTTATTCTCGTAATATTGTAACTTTATTCTCATAATATTACGACTTTATTTTGACTTTGACTTTATTCTTGTAATATTATGACTTTATTCTCGTAAATTACGACTTTTCCTGGCTTCGACTTTATTCTCGTAATATTACAACTTTAGTGTTGAAATATTATGACTTTATTCTCGTAGCGCCAGCATCATTTTTTTTTTGAATCTGAGTCTTATACTCCGTCGTAGGAAACAGTCACTGCAGCCGTGTAAATACAATGAAATCATTCAGTTTCACTGTTCAATCTTTTAGACAGTGTTTGCTGCTGTGTGCATTGTGTCACCATGGTAACCGCTGAACATTCCACCAAAGAGATACATGTAGAACACCCCCAGCGAGATTTCCCTGCAAAGTATCGATCTATTATATCTGCTCTAGAGAGTTAAATGATCCAAAAATCTTTTGATGAGAACATGTGTGATGAGTTCAGTTCCAGCCTGTAAACCAGAGTCTGGACTGGACCACACGGTTTGGTGTTGTGGACATTTTAGCATCAAAATTATTTGTGCTGCTTCTTGAAGTTGAAGCTTGTGCAAAATTTATTTTCAAAGATGTTTCACATTTTTCACTAAACTCACAAATCTCCCACATGTTTGTGTTTCCTCCAGTGAAGCCCACCATCATCAACCAAGTGTCTGAAGACATACACTCCCAGGTCAGCTCTCTCTCTCTCTCTATCTCTATCTCTCTCTATCTCTCTCTGTCACTCACTCTCTCTCTCTGTATCTCTCTCTCTGTATATCTCTCTCTCTCTCTCTCTCTCTATCTCTATCTCTATCTGTCACTCACTCTCTCTCTCTGTATCTCTCTCTCTTATATATATATATATATGTGTATATATATATATATATATATATATATATATATATATATATATATATATATATATATATATATATATATATATATATATATATATAAAAATGTGTTTCTCACCTTCCACGGTGGTTGGTCTCTCACCCTCATTGAGCTCGGGTCGTCTACCAGAGGCCTGGGAGCTTGTGAGTTCTGCGCAGTATCTTTGCTGTTCCCAGTACTGCACTTTTCTGGACTGAGATGTTCCGTTGTTTTTCCCGGTATCTGTTGTAGCCACTCTTCCAGTTTGGGGGTTACAGCCCCGAGTGTCCGATCACCACAGGCACCACTGATGCCTTTACTTTCCAGGCTCTCTCCAGCTCTTCCTTGAGCCCCTGGTATTTCTCTAGTTTCTCGTGTTCCTTTTTCCTGATATTACCATCGCTTGGTATTGTGATGTTCCACCACCACGGCTCTGCTCTGTTTCTTATCAACCACCACTATGTCTGGTTGGTTCATCACCATCCTGTCAGTCTGTATCTGGAAGTCCCACAGGATCTTGGCTCGGTCATTCTCCACAACCTTTGGAGGTGTTTTCCACCTTGATCCTGGGGTTTCCAGCCCGTACTCTGCACAGATGTTTCTGTACACTATGCCCGCCACTTGGTTATGTCGCTCCATGTTTGCTTTCCCTGCCAGCATCTTACACCCTGCAGTTCTGTGCTGGACTGTCTCAGGAGCCTCTTTGCACAGTCTACACCGTGGGTCTTGTCTGGTGTGGTAGATCTGGGCCTCTATTGCTCGAGTGCCCAGGGCCTGCTCCTGAGCAGCCAGGATCAGTGCCTCTGTGTGTCCTTCAGACCAGCCCTCTCAAGCCATTGGTAGGATTTCTTGATATCAGCCACTTCAGTTATATATATATATATATATATATATATATATATATATATATATATATATATATATATATATATATATATATGTGTCACTCACTATCTCTCTCTCTATCTCTCTCTCTGTCTCTCTCTCTCTGTATCTCTCTCTTCCATTTCTCTGTCTCTCCCTCTCTCCTCTGAACAGTCTGTTTCTTGTCGTTTATTTTCTTGTGTGTTGTTTGTTTGCAGAAGTCGCATTATAAAATGACCCTGATGATCATTTTGGGCACGTGTCTCCCTCTGGTGGTCATGCTCGTGGTCTTCGTCTTGTGTGTGTCCCACCGCTGCAAGCCCTACAGCGAGACCCAGGTAAGACCAGGACAAAACCAGGACAAAACCAGGACCAAACCAGGACTAAACCAGGACTAAACCAGGACTAAACCAGGACTAAACCAGGTCTAAACCAGGACTAAACCAGGACTAAACCAAGACTGGACCAGGTCTAAACCAGGACTAAACCAGGACTAAACCAGGACTGGACCAGGTCTAAACCAGGACTAAACCAGGTCTAAACCAGGACTAAACCAGGTCTAAACCAGGTCTAAACCAGGTCTAAACCAGGTCTAAACCAGGACTAAACCAGGTCTAAACCAGGACTAAACCAGGTCTAAACCAGGACTAAACCAGGACTAAACCAGGTCTAAACCAGGTCTAAACCAGGACTAAACCAAGACTAAACCAGGACTAAACCAGGACTAAACCAGGACTAAACCTGGTCTAAACCTGGTCTAAACCAGGTCTAAACCAGGACTAAACCAGGACTAAACCAGGACTAAACCAGGACTAAACCAGGACTAAACCAGGACTAAACCTGGTCTAAACCAGGACTAAACCAGGACTAAACCAGGACTGGACCAGGTCTAAACCAGGACTAAACCAGGACTGGACCAGGTCTAAACCAGGTCTAAACCAGGACTAAACCAGGTCTAAACCAGGACTAAACCAGGACTGAACCAGGTCTAAACCAGGTCTAAACCAGGTCTAAACCAGGACTAAACCAGGTCTAAACCAGGACTAAACCAGGTCTAAACCAGGACTAAACCAGGACTGGACCAGGACTAAACCAGGTCTAAACCAGGACTAAACCAGGACTAAACCAGGACTAAACCAGGTCTAAACCAGGTCTAAACCAGGACTAAACCAGGACTAAACCAGGACTAAACCAGGTCTAAACCAGGACTAAACCAGGACTAAACCAGGACTGGACCAGGTCTAAACCAGGACTAAACCAGGACTAAACCAGGACTAAACCAGGTCTAAACCAGGACTAAACCAGGACTAAACCAGGACTAAACCAGGAAACCAGGTCTAAACCAGGTCTAAACCAGGTCTAAACCAGGACTAAACCAGGTCTAAACCAGGCTAAACCAGGTCTAAACCAGGACTAAACCAGGACTAAACCTGGTCTAAACCAGGACTAAACCAGACTAAACCAAGACTAAACCAGGACTAAACCAGGACTAAACCAGGACTAAACCTGGTCTAAACCTGGTCTAAACCAGGTCTAAACCAGGTCTAAACCAGGACTAAACCAAGACTAAACCAGGACTAAACCAGGACTAAACCAGGACTAAACCTGGTCTAAACCTGGTCTAAACCAGGACTAAACCAGGACTAAACCAGGACTGGACCAGGTCTAAACCAGGTCTAAACCAGGTCTAAACCAGGACTAAACCAGGTCTAAACCAGGACTAAACCAGGTCTAAACCAGGACTAAACCAGGACTAAACCAGGTCTAAACCAGGTCTAAACCAGGACTAAACCAGGACTAAACCAGGTCTAAACCAGGTCTAAACCAGGACTAAACCAAGACTAAACCAGGACTAAACCAGGACTAAACCAGGACTAAACCAGGACTAAACCTGGTCTAAACCAGGACTAAACCAGGACTAAACCAGGTCTAAACCCGGACTAAACATGGTCTAAACCAGGACTAAACCAGGACTAACCCTGGTCTAAACCAGGACTAAACCAGAACTAAACCAGGTCTAAACTAGGACCAAACCGGGGCAAAAAATTTGTCTAATTACCCGTCCCCTCTGCCCCCAGCGGCCCCTGACGGACGAGCTGCAGGCGGTGGAAAACGGTTACCATGACAACCCGACTCTGGAGGTGATGGAGGTGCAGGGGGTGGAGCCGGAGAAGAAGATGGCGTTGAACCTGAACGGCGAGTTTAACGACAGCTGGATCGTTCCCATGGACAACTTGCTGAAGGACGACGGCCCGGACGAGGAGGACACACACCTGTGAGGGCGGGGCCGGGCGCACACTGATGATGTCAGCGCCGCACACGGACGAGCTCACCGTCCAGGAGGAGTGACATCATCAGCGTGAGACTCGCACTGCAAACAATGAAAAACTACAAGAGTTTAAATGAGAACAACACTTTCTGAACAAAGTCATTACATAGCCCTGGTTCAGGAAGTACATTTCCCGTTCATTTTCCACATGGACTTTCTAAAATATTGTATATTCAAGGTTTAAAAGCTCAGGGATAATCTGCTCTCTGGTATAAACCGCTAAATCATTCAAATATTTGGCTGAAGTTCTTATGAGCCTTTTGGCTCAAAACAACCACACTGTACTGGAGCAAAGCAGTCAGTCCATCAGTCAGTGAAGTACGTCTGTTGGCGTCGCCATGTTTGTTTTGGTTTGTTTGGACGCTTTACCTTTGACGTGATTAGTCCACTCGCACCTGGGTGGATTTGAACCTCACGGGGGGGCGCTCTCCAAGATGGACTCTCATGAGTTTGTGACACCAACATGTGAGAGTCCATCTTGGAGGTTAAGATGAAACATTACATTGCTTTAATAAAGCTTCACTGGTCAAACCCTTTAGTAAGATGGATCTGAATTCAGATCATTTAAGCTCATTTAAACTCTTGTGTTCATGTTTTTTGGTGCATCTGTGGAGTCGACGTCAGGACTCACTGGTGAATCAGCAGAAAGGACAGAATGGACTTCCATCAGGACTTCCATCAGGACTCACAGTGCCTTCAGAATAAACCTAATTTTCATCAAAGGGACTTAGGCATTTGATAAATGTATAAATTATTCATTACAAATAGATTTTGTTTGTCCCAAAAACTTACAGATCAGCGCCTTATCTGTGAACTGTTCATTTTGGTGTTTCTCTGTGGAGCGCCCCCTCATGCCAGTTGTGAAGCCTTGGCCTGAGTGTGTGTGGCTCATGTGAAGCCTGTTATGTTTGAGAGTTCAGCTGTTGGGCTGATGTAGACGATAGACAGAGAAGGGTCTGAACCCCAGTGTTTTAGAAACAGTCAAAGCTTTAAACTTCTTTAAACGGAGGATTCTGAAAAATGGACATTTGGAGCTTTCTATCATGTTATAACGTCTCCTCATCAAAAACACATCTGAAGAGGTCTTAGAGTCATCCATGCATGTTTGAGTCATCTAGTGATCTCTCCTGGGACCCTCCTTACGGTTAGCAGTACTAGTCTGTATGAGGCTCCGCCCACAGCCTTACATCCCCCATGCCCCACTCGACAATCCTCCATAAATAAACAAAAACGTGACACACTGTCGACAGTGGTGTCACAAACCTGATGTGACGTGCAGGAGTTTCATTAGCAGGATCCACACTGAGTGTGTTGTGATAGTGCTCTGAAGGGGGAGTGTTTAGCACGAGCAGCATAATTATTTCACATTTTGATGACTTTAAACCACAATATTGATCTAAAAGGCCATTTCACACATTTTCACGTTGATGTTTTTATTTTTGAGAAATTACTTCACTTTCTGTTTGACTTGAGATCTAAATAACAAACAGTGAGTGCAGAGCTGTGGGCGGAGATAGGGGGTAGGTGAAAACTGAATTTTTTTGAATGCTCAAGCCTCAAATGCAGAACAAAACAAGATTACTCAAACATACTCCTATATGATAATGAAGAGAGTAAACCACCAGAACACGACTGACAGCTCTGAAAAGTCGATTTTGCAGATGATGTCTTTTTAAAGGGGCCGTGTTACACTATTTTCTGATCTATGTTCTAATGTTCCTCCTCCAAAACACACCTGGAGTTGTGTTTGTTTCATTCATACATGTTGGATTAACAACTACATTGCCAAAGCTCTAAATTCTCTGTTCCACCTTGTGATGTCATGAAGTGGTGGTATTTAAATGAACAGCTCTTTTTACCTTTAGTTCAGTAGAGATTGGCAACTCCAGAGCTGAAATGATCCAAATGATTCTAGTGACGCTGTGGGGAGTTTAAAAACACAATGGAGCACTTCCTGTTTTACCACATGACATCACAAGGTGGAACAGAGTGTTTTCGGTTTTGAGAGAAGAAAATAGTGTGACATTTGCCCTTTAAGACAAACCTCCTTTTCTTACTAACATATTTATTCAAAAGACAAAACTGTTTTTGTGGTTTGAAACTGAGAACACTGGACCGCCTGGTAACATCACTGGAGTTTTAAACCAGATGCCCTCCCTGATGCAACCAGCTACATTTCTGTGACCAAACAGGGCGATGCAGGGGGAGTTTCTACCTGCTGGGGCGGGATTGGAACCTGTAACCCTCTGGTCACTGGGCAAATGAGTAGTGGAGTCCCATTGCTCTGGACTGTGCAGAGCCCCACATGGGAAGAAATAAGAACACAGATAAAGCAGCCATTTAAATTATGTTTGTTTATAGATGTTATTTTTGTCGTGAACACTGGTGGAGTTTGTTTGACTTTTATTTTTTAATGTTGAAAATATCGAGGACTCAGAATCAAAGTGAAAAAGTGACATTCTGGCTGAAAAAATTATTCAAAACTATTCAAAATTTGAGTCAAGTTCTATTAAAAACTATAGATTGTTTATATAAATGGACATCACGATTCGCTCTTATAACTGCCGCCTCGATGAGCTTCACTTGACTGGAGCTGAACACTCACTCAAAAAGATAGAAACACAAAAAAGAAATGTAGTTTTTAAGTCAGGATGGTATACACGTTACACTGTCGACACATTTATAACACGTATAATGAAAAACACGTTCAAATTTGTAAATTATTCAGTAGTGTCATAGTACTTGAAACGTATCCACGCTGGCGCCACCTAGTGCCTCCGCTCAATTTCATTTCTGTCCAGCGATTAGGTCAGGAATCAAGTGGAAGTGCGAGTTTGGGCACCAGCCAATCAGTGAAGAGTCAGACATTCTGTGTTGGCAACAATTCCCGAGATCGAAGATTTAAAGCTGGAATAAAGAGAAAATGAATGAATGAATGAAAGAGAATTTTTTCAAGGGGAAAGTTATTGTCCTACTTCCTACGGGATTTGGGAAAAGTTGAACATACCAGTTAGACCCGTTAGCGGTGCATTCCATACATCACAACCACATAGCAGCAGCCAGTTAAATGAAAAAAAGTTCCCACATTCCGTCGAGTGAACGAATTCTAATGCTGCCAGGTCAGACTGACGAATCAGGCTACTTGAACCCGGCCTCGAGACTGCTTTTTTACGGTCTTGGTCTTGTCTCCGACTCAAGGTCATTTGGACTCACTCTTATTTCGGTCTTGAAGGCTCTTGGACTCGGTCTTGTCTTGGTCTTGAAGGCTCTCGGTCTTGTCTCGGTCTTGAAGGCTCTCAGTCTCAGTCTTGTCTCGGTCTTGAAGAATCTCGGTCTCGGTCTTGTCTCGGTCTTGAAGCCTTTCAGTCTCGGTCTTGATGGAGGTTGGACTCGGTCTTGTCTCAGTCTTGATGGAGGTTGGTCTTGGTCTTGCCTCGGTCTTGAAGGCTCTTGGTCTTGGTCTTGCCTCGGACTCGAGGTCTGACACTGGATGAGTGTGATCATATTTCATTATGGCTGGTAAATGAAAACCAATAAGAGAATGTCACTGTAAAAGTTATGAACTTGAAAAAACCTACTTTGAAACTTTGAAGGTGTTTTCTAAAAAGTACCAGTGGAAGTTCTCTTAAAGAATTGGTGAGGATCCAAAAAAGGAGTGCTTAAGTCTGTTTCAGTGCAGTGCAGTTTGCTCGGCTTATTTTAAGCCTAAATAAACATTAATCAGATCAAATGGAGATAGATTTACTGATATCTCGACTCTCAGAGGTCTTGGTCTTGTCCTGGTCTCTGGACTCTGTGGTCTTGTCCTGGTCTTGGTCTCGTTTAGTGCCAGTCTTGACTACAACACTGTTATTCAGTTTGGTACCAAATATGCTTTATTCACGCTTACCGGAAAACGCTGGAAACATGCGGATGACGACTTCCGGTGTAGTTAAACAGATAAAACCCTGGATTCAGCAGCAGCGTCTTCACAACCTGCCAAAGCTTTACATGAGGGACGAGACTCTAATCAGATCTTTAACATCATTTACAGACAACTGATTGGAACTGTTGACCTGCCAAACATAAGGGAACACTATAATGACGTCTTTTTTGACAAATTATAATCCATAAATTAATCGGCAATTTGCAAAAGGAAAAAAGAAAGAAAATTGGGCCCAAAGGAAGTCGTCATCTGCATGTTTCCAAACGTTTTCCAGTTTTGTGACGTAAGCGTGAAGTATTTCTGGTAATGAGTTCAAATACATTTAAGTTTTAACACATTTTAACAAGAAAAAGTTATTACCACTCATTCTAAATCTGCAGGGTTTGTGCGTTAAAAGTGTGAATGGAACAAAACACAACTCCAGCGTTTAACCCTTTTAAATCAATAGTATAAAAAACAAGAAACTTTTTTTTTTACCCTTTATTTTGTTTAGAAATAATCCTTTAAACTACTACTAAAAGAATGGTTATCGCAGCCTTACACAGACACACTTCCCGCATTAAAATGGGACTTTGCTTTAAACAATTCTCTCAAATTTGTGAAAATGTTTGTAATGTTTTGTAATAGTTTCAGCCCAAAATGTCACTTGTTTATTTTGACACTCAGCCCTGAAGTGTCCACTGGATCACACCCAGACTTCCCTTTATTTTAAACCACTCTTGTGTATTTACTGTCACTATGATCTGAGCACGTTTAAGAGTTTGTGTTTTTGAGAATCACTTTTGTGTGTTTTTTTGTCCAAATGTTGTTGTTGCCGTACGTGTGGTATTTATAACGTTTGCTCCGCAGCGAACAGCAGGGGTCTGACACACTGGAAACTGTAAAAACTTTTATTATTTGCAAATAAATGGAATAAAAAGTGTCGTTAAGTGTCATAAAAGAAGTCATAAATGTAAAACACATAAGCGGCAGTGGACGGGAGGCAGGAGCTCCGCTGGGACAGAGCTCTGATCTGATCTGAACGTCGCCTTCTGCGTAAACGTGTCGGTAGAGCCGACAAATCCACACAAACAAGACTGGAGGTTTGACCCTGTGTGAAGTCGGCCCCATCAAACACAAACCTGCACAAAAACTGTCCTTTGAGCAGCAAAAAGTTTTGTTTGTGCTGCTTTAGTTTTGGAGATTTTAAAGATTCTTTTATATTATTTTTTTTATTATTTATTTGTTTATGTATTTCATCCATCCATATTCTTCCGCTTATCCAGGGTCGGGTCGCGGGGGCATCAGTCTAAGCAGGGACTCCCAGACTTCCTCCACCCCAGACACTTCCTCCAGCTCCTCCAGGGGGAACCCAATGCCTTCACAGACCAGCCCAGAGACACAGTCCCTCCAGCGTGTCCTGGGTCTCCCTCCTTTTTCATTCATAAAGTATAAAAAGACATCAACAGTGTCACAACATCAAACACACAAGAAATGAGTGAAAAGGAGCAGAAAGAAGAAGAGTCGTCTTCTGTTCTCTGCTCCTTTTCCCTTTTCCAGACAAAACATCAACACTGATAGTGAGGAGAAAATTCAGTTTGTCGACTGGACAAAGGTTAGTTTGGTTGAAGACGTCCACTTAAAAGTCTCGGGTCACTCATTTGAGGACAGCGAGGTACAGATTTTAGCCAGAGGAAAAAATTGGTTTGAGAGGAAAGTGAAAGAAACCATTTTTGTTAAGAAAGAGAATCCATCTTTAAACAGAAATGGACTCAGACACCATCTGTCTCCTATTTACACGTCCATCCTCAAACCTAAACCAGAACAAACAAGAAAACAACAGCAGTAGATCTGGCTACAAGTTGTAGTCAGGTCAGGTCCAGAGGTGTGGAAGCTCCATTATGGACATGAATTGTTCTGTTAATTAGACCCCACACCCTGTACAGGTCAATAGACCCAACTAACCAACAGAAACTGTAAACAAGTGTGTGTTAGTTTCAGTGATTTAGCTCCTCCTGCAGATATAAGGAAGTGTCCACCAGTTTGTGTCCATACCTGCTTGTCAAAGCCTGATCCCATCAGATCTGAGAAGCTCAGCAGGGCCCGGCCTGGTCAGGACTTGGATGGAGACACTGGGAAAATCAGGAGCCACAGGAGGCGCCAGTCACAAAAACTGCCGTTGTGTCCTTGGGCAAGACACTTTGCCTAGTATGAAAGTGATGTGTGTGTGTGATGGTGGTGGTCGGAGGGGCTGATGGCACAGATTGGCAGCCTCACTTCCGTCAGTCTGCCCCAGGGCAGCTGTGGCTACAATAGTAGTTTACCATCACCAGGAGTGGAGAAAAAGAATAATGAATCTATATAAATGCTTTGTAAAGTGTCTTTGTGACATATATCGTGAAAAGCACTATATAAATAAAGACTTATTTACTTACCAGCGTCTGAGCAGAAGTGAAGAAGCAGCTTGGATGAGCTGCAAAACATCTTCAACCAAACTAACTTTTGTCCAGTCGACAAACTGAATTTTCTCCTGGACATGGATTGTACCTGGACGACTGAGGGATTCTTCACATCAACACTGATAGTTACTTTAAAACATTTCAGATTCATACATTTCAGTCCAGGCACAATTATTCATCAATTGCAACAGAAATCTTCACTTTTATGCACAATAACTTACTTTTCTTTTTCATACAAACACACTGCACTGGATTTTGTGTTTTTTAAATGCCTCACTGTACTTGATTCTTTTATAGCTTTGTCAATAAATGAACTCCTTTCACAGTGATGCTACGGCCAAATTAGAGTCAGCCCCCAGGAAGCTCCAAAATGCTCTAAAAAAGCCCAAAGGGGTGTTCGTCATTTCTGCTGTTTTGTGCTTCGTTTGTGCTGCAAAAAGTTTCATTTGTGTGATTCTGGTTCTTAAGATATGAACAGTTTTCTTTTGGGTCATGGTCATCCAGCCCCTCACAATGTTAAACAGCCTCAAAACAGCAGAAAATGATATGAAACATTTGTATTTGGTTTGTGCTCTGACAATTTTCATTTGTGTTAAAATAATTCTAAAATTAATTATTGCTTTTGTGAAAATTATATAATGTAATTTCCGCTCAGCTGATGCAGCAGCTTTAGCAAAACTCCACAAAACTAGTGAAGAGAAACGACCTGAGGCTGTGGTCTAGCTCCAACAGATGAAGACTGTGGTTGTGTCCTTGGGCAAAACTCCCTTGTCCTTCATACACTCCACTGGAGTGTGTGTGTGTGTGTGTGTCCTTTTTTCCAAGGACTGAGCTTTGTCACTTCCTCCACACAGACCATATGACTGCAGCATTGACCTAATACCTGGTGCCCCTCTACCTACCAGTAAACTCTATAACCTCTCTAAGCCAGAAAGAGAAGCTATGGAGGAATACATTTCGAGCCGTTGCCTGCTGGTTTAATCCGACCCTCTTCGTCTCCTGTGGGAGCAGGATTCTTCTTCGTAGATAAAACAAATCTTTAAGACCATGTATTGACTACAGGGGCCTGAATGACATAACTGTTAAAAACAAGTATCCCCTGCCTCTCATAGACTCTGCCTTCAGCTCCCTCCATGAAGCCACTATCTTCACAAAGTTGGACCTCCTGCCTACAATCTAGTACAAATAAAAGAGGGAGAAGAGTGGAAAACAGCTTTTAACACCCCACTTGGTCATTTCGAGTATCTGGTGATGCCATTTGGCTTAACTAATGCCCCAGCTGTTTTCCAGGCTCTTATCAATGATGTTCTGAGACACATGTTAAATAGGTTTGTGTTTGTGTACCTAGATGATATTTTGATCTTTTTTCATTCTTATCAGGAACATGTTCTACAGTGCCTCCTAGAGAACAGACTTTAAGTGAAAGCTGAGAAGTGTGAATTTCATGTGTCTTCTGTTAGTTTTTTAGGTTTTGTCGTGCAGCTCCCTGCCTCCTCAGCCTGCCTCTCGTTTGGAAAATAAACTGTTTAAAACTTGACTGAATTCTGGCTCTGCTTTGGGGTCCTTCTTGCCAAACCATAAAAGCTAGAGCTCAGGTGGCCATCTTAAATAGGGTGTGGCAAGCACCCAAGGGTGACAGGTTGTAAAGGAACACTGTATGTAACGGAATATAATTCAAAATACAAACCCATCAACACATATACAGTGTCACACAGATTAGTATAATAATAATGCTAGTAATAATAGTAGAAAAATACTTGAAATATAAAACCGATGAGCATCTGAATACTTATAGATTTTGTATATTCACCCAACTAAGCCCATGTACAGCCCAACAGAGGCCAGTGACATAATTACCTGATACTTACAAGAAAATACTTCAAATAATCATTCAGACTTTTAAGAGTTAATGTCTGGAGGGTGTGAATCCAAAAATCAATTGATCAAAATATTTAACTGAAGCTAAATTTAGTGGATGATGAAACTCTCTTGAAGAAAGTCAACGTGGCATGTAAATGGTTCCAAAATTATCTTTTCAACCAAACCAAGGAAGTAGGAGCTAGTGGGTTTAAATCTATTTTTACTGTAAGCAAGGAGTGCCCCAAGGTTCAATTTTGGGCCTGCTCCTTTTTATTATATTAATATTTATTCCATTGGTTGCAATTTAAGAGAAAGGCTCATGTATTTCTGTGGTGCTGCAGCTGGTGCTGTTTCTTATGCAAGTGCTCCCTCTACTGACCATTTTAACACTGCAGCAAGATGTTAATAAAAGCCAAAATTCCCTCAAAAATCTTAAATTGTTATTGAATGCAAATTAAACTAAGTACTTAAAAGATTAAAAGATTAAGCAAGTCCTAAAAATAGTGACTCAAATCTAACTCAAGTCCAAGTCATGACTTGAAAGTCCCACCTCTGGTTAGTATTATATAATACTCCATGAGCAGTATCGGGATACTTCAACAATGTCACAGACATTAATTAGGCTGCGCTGTTGCCTTGATTTTGAATGATTTCAATGTCATTAGTGGACAGGACAGCAGAGGGCAGCACTGTGCCTGTGCCTGTTTTGTTAAGTTCTGCCACACCATTCAATTCTTTATTATTGTCTTTATGAGATGTGACAAGTGATTTATTCCTTTTAGAAACAGTTTGATGTGTCCAGTTTCCATAGTACTTTCTGTCTTTAATGGTGTTTTATTTCATTCACATGTTTGAGTAACTCTTTATTATTAGTCTGTCTACATCTCCAAAGCTCAAAACACTCTAATCCACCTTGTGATGTCATAAAGTGGTAGTTTTCAAATGAGCTGCTCCTTTTCCCTTTAGTTCAGTAGAGATTCCAGGACTGAACTGATCCAAATGATTCTAGTGAAGGTGTGTGGAGTTTAAAAACACAGTGGAGCACTTCCTGTATCACCATATGACATCACAAGGTGGAACAGAGTGTTTTCAGTTTGAGAAAATAACTCAGTCTAAATGTGCAGGTTTGTGTGTTAAACATGTGTGACTGACACAACAAAGTCCAGGTGTGTGTTTGTGATGAGGAAAGTGTTTGAAGGACACAGCTCTGTTACCGGAGAATTTTGGATGTTTAATCATCAGTGGACGTCTTTATCAGAGGAGTTTCTATGAGATGGAAGTGAGAGCAGCATGTGATCAAGTTTAGGTTAACAAAGGAAAACAAAGTTATAACAATTTCTCCCTCTTTAAGATGTGTACTGATTATGCCTCTTTCAAGTATAACTAATTCAAGTCGAGGCAAACTAGAGTCTTCTCCATTAGTTTGTATTAACTGAAGAGTGGGGAAAACAGCAGATTGCATGAATAAATGTTTGTATAAATAAACGATTATTTAGTTTATTGGTATGTCTATTAGGGAGAATGCACATAAAACAGTGACCTACACAAAGTGGTCATTTGTTTCTGAGTTCTCCAATAAGGTCAGAAGAAGAAGATAGATGACTAGTTTTCATTTGTTCAC